TTATTTATGCCCTTCATTATTCAGCCCAGTATATAATGACAATTTTAAATGTTTTTATCAAAATTGATTTGTCATTAGTTATTCGATTATCAATCCCTTTAAATCTAATAAATCAAAGGCTTGAGACAAGTGTGGAATTACGTCCTATAAGGTTTTAACACATATGTGCAAAGAGCACTCAGAAGATCCCATTGTAATAGGCTATAAGAATGTAAATACAGGTAGCCTACCAAATCCTCTGTGTCGGATTGATTTCGACATGGTTTCTTCTCACTTGCTCTTGCTGCCGTCTGTGTGCAGAAAACTTTCCAGGGTATATGTCTCCCGCTGTCTGAGTCTGACCTGGCAGATATGTCCCATACAACCTAATGATTGTGAGCAGTGACTCCTCTCAGTACAAGCCACAGTGCTGTCAAGTTGACCACAGTGACTGTCCTGGTGTTTCTTTTCAAAATAAATGTCATGTTGTCAAATAAAATAGCTGTGGGTAGGAGAGGTATAGGCATTTGTATTTTGTATTTGATTATGTTTTATTTGCTTTTTTGTTTATTTGATTTACTTACTAACGTATTTAATTTTCAAATGTTGGTTTATTTATACAGGAGACATTTTATTTTGCTCTGGTGATAAATTCATATTTTTGTTCAACATTTCGTCTTCTTTGAATTTACTGACTTATCCACAAAAATATAAATGGATTGTATTTAATCTTTATGAATCTTTATGAATTATTGATATTTGGGTCACTCACTCATTGGGGGACACGGTGTTATTATTTTATATGTTAATGAATTCATCTATCAGTAGGCTCTTTTTGTTGGACCTTTGCATTTAGATATGTAACTCATATATGCTGAAAAGTTTACTACAGAAAATACACAATGGCAAGCTATAGATGATTCTATTACTTTGAAGTTACACTTGAATAGTTTCCTGAATTACTCTGGTCAACTTAACCTGATACTTGTACTTGAAGTATTTTGTTTGAATTTGCCTATTATAGCTGCCTCTTATTTCTTCTGGAGACTGTATGTACAAATATTAATTGAACTAATTCTACAAATAAACAGTTCCTATAGTATTTACTTGAAATCCAAGTGTACAGTTTTCAGGTTAATAATCACTCACTGAACAAATAAAGCCCCATTACAGGGTCAACAAATAGGATGGGGGAAGGTAGGCCTCAATTAATTATTTTACATAAAGATTCATTACAGTTACTTCCTTTATACTAACAAGCATTACCCTGTTTTCTTTCTCTCTCTCTCGCTCTCTCTCTCTCTCACACACACACACACATACACACACACGGTTTCCATCTCTGTTTCAGTGTGTGGGGGTTTGGTTCACTGTGTAACCCAGAGTGTGTTTTTAAACATACCAGGAAAAGACTCAGCATTTCCTTTCCACCAGTCAGTTCCTCTCTCAACTCAGAGTTGTTTTAAACCCAGGGCAACGTGTCAAGTCTTTTTACCAGCTGCAAATGGAGGAAATTGCCAGTTTTATGATGGCTCAGCATTTTAGTAATACACATGCACGAGGTGTCTGAAAACTCATTGTGTCATAAAATACTTGTCCTCCTCATTAAATTTTTTTATTACACCCAGTGGTTGTCAGATGACTAAGTTTATGCACCAATCCCTAAATGCCCTCTCCTCTCTCTGATAATGTAGATCACAGTTGTATTTAAAAACATCAACACAACTCATTTTGAGACATGCAGGGTCTTAAAGGTCAAGGGCAATATTTAAATATCAATTATGAATTAAACAGGCAGGTAATGAAGGGGAGCTAAGAGTGACATCATAAGAACAGTAAGGTATCACACACTGGTTAAGCTTTGGCACCATAAAATCAAAAAGTCACTTTTTAGGAATTGAGGGAACATGTTACCTCCGAGCTCAAAAAAGATATGTAATACTTGAACCTGTCCATATCACATAAGATCAATGATGAAAGTTAATGATTTTATGAAGAAATTGGTTAACTTTGTCTCAGAAAAGAATTGCCAACTCTCTGGAGGATCTTAGAGTGAAATTTGTATATTTGAGAATCTTCAAGAGTGAGATATATTGGTTGTGCTTTATAAACATAAAAGCAATGAAAATTATTAAGTTCATTGAATTATCAAATTTTACTGTGCGATAAATGCTTTTCCGTGAACTACATTTTTGTTGGGGAGTTTTGTGCTAATTAATTGCCACAGATTAAATGTAATTAAATTGGTACAACGTTTTACCTTCTTAATGCTTAATTATTTTATGAGTGTTGTTATATCTCATTTTACTGAATATTTATCAAGCCATTATCAAGAACAACTTTTTGGTTAAAGGTTCAGTGTGTAGAATTTAGTGACATCTAGAGGTGAAATTGCATGTTGCAGCTGAATCCCCCTAACTTCATCGTCCCCATGAAAACATGAAAGAGAATCTGTGGTAGACCTCAGTTGTCATAAATACTATATATAAGTATTTATATATAGGGGTTCATTCTAGGGTCAAGAAAACAACCATTCATACAATTAAGATGAAACACACCAGTGATAACATCAAAAGGATTAATTTATATTCAATTTCTGCCAATAGTTGCCTTTCACCTAAATCTTACACACTGGACCTTTAAGTCCCTGTGAGATGGACCGTGGCCAGGTCACGAGTCTATCACGATCAAAATAAAGTGACATGGCAACCCTGAACTGATGTTACAAAAGATCAGTAGATCATTTACTAACTTTTAACCAAAGGCTCCTGACGAGGTGGTTGAACAATAATGTAGATAAATCGGTCCCTGTTCGTTTTGTGAACTTTAGAGGGCGCTACTTAAGAAAGAGAATCCTTTACTCTGTTGTGGGTTTTTGTCACGACACTAAACAACAAAGATAAACTTCCTTTTACTGATTCCAAAACAAAAGTCCAGCTGGCGCCCCCGTATCTGGGCGATGGCTTAACGTGAAGAGGCTTTTGTTTTGAAGACAGATTCCCGTTACGTCCGGTGTTACTCACGCTGACTCTGACAAAGCTAACTACTGTCGTTCAGCATCACCCAAACATTAGCTCTCCCAGTAGCTTTAAGCTAAACTCCCTTCAAACTGCCATAATCTATGAGTCGCAAAAGAAATTACAGTTTCGCTGAAACGAGCCTGTCTCCTCAACCCCACGGCGCCTTCATGGAACCTTCCGGGTCAGCGAGCCGAGCCGACGGCGATTTCCTGGAGCTGGAGCCCGACGAGGAGCTGCTCTTTTCAGTCAACGACATTACCGAGCACCTCGGCAGAAATATCACCTTGGTGCTGGAAACCGCGCTGTCTGAGATCCGGAAGATGGTCAGCATCAGGATACGAGTCCTGAAAATGGAACTGCGCGAAAAGACGGAGGAGATCGACGTGTTAAAGGCGAGACTGGACACCGTCCAGAGGGATGGCAGGGACCATTTCCACAGCGTTGCGACCGCGGAGCCGTCCACAGAGTCCGGCTACAAGAAACCCGATTTCAGCGCCGGAACCAAGCACAACAACGCCGACCCCAGGAGAGCGAAGAGTGTCATGCCCGGTGTGAAGAAAGAGAATATAGATGCTATTTGTGACTATCTGATGAAAGACAAGAACTCGAGAGGTTGTACCGAAATAGACGGAGACCAGAGCAGCCAAACCAGCGGCGAGAGGGAGGCTCGACCAGAGCAGGACCCGCACTCTCTAAACCTGTGGCCTGACAGCGGAATGGCTGGCTCCGGCTCTGGGCACGGAGACTCCGAGTCCACCACAGATGACATATTCAGTATACTTCCCTCTGGCAGCAAACGGATGTACGATTACGAATGGATAACCCCGATCGAATATTCCTCAGAACTGAAAGGTAAATACACTGAGCGATATGGTGTGTGAGTCTCAGGTGTTCTTGCAGCTGGGGACACTTCTGGAGACATGCCATTGCTTATGAAAGACCAATGCACACATCAGAAGGGATGATGGGTAAGGAAGATCAGAATAAACCATTTCTGCAAACCCTTACTGGGATAGTTCACCCATAAATGAAAAGTCACTCAACATTATCTAATCACCACTATGCCGATTGGAGGGGTGGGTGAAGTGTTAGACACGTTTGGAGTTTCAGGGGTGAACAGTGTTGCAAGCAAATCCAATGCAATTGAAATAAATGGCGACCGATTCTTTAAATGTAAAAAACAACTGGACACAAAATTCAAATACATTCTGCCTTTGTGGTTTCATCCAAGTGTTGGTAATCCCCTGGCATTCAAGTTTGACTCAAACAGTGCCAGAGGAGGATATCAGAGAACATTTAGGCTAAAAACATGGTGTCAATCATGCTGTTTTGAGACGAATATGAATGTCGGGGCTTATGGACACCCCAATCACTTCATCCACCCCTCCATTGGCATAGTGGTGAGTAGATAATGAGTGATTTTTTATTTTTGGGTGAACTATCCCTTAAAGTAAGGGCATAAGATTTAAAGTTAAAAAAAAAAATGATTAAAAACTTTTCATTTACAGGAGTTAGCAGCAGCACCTGTACAAATACGTCCCCACTTCCTCCCACATTTTATGTCATATATCTGGAGCTAGAGTCTGCTCAGCAGCAAAGCCTGGGACGGACCTGCTGTACTGTAGTTATGCACATGCATCCACCTGACCAATAACAATCCAATTTCAGCTGCCAATTATGAACACTCACAATTATTTTTTCGAGCAACAAATAAGTAATTATTCTGCAGGTGGGAACAGACTGTTCTGCCCATGCAGGTAATGGACATGGAGGCAATTTTCTTTTTTTTCTAAATAGAGATTGAGATGTGTTGTGTAACATTTCAACTGGAGTGACAACTGAAAAGTAGAAAGAGACAACGATAAATCTAAGCAACAGTGAAGGAACAACATCAGAAATCACATGTCTTGTGTGCTAACTCTTTACACACTATATTGACTTACACTATACACATGACAAAAGACTGATAAAACAGAATGAATAAGAAGATTATGTCAGGGTTGGGCACCAAAACCTGCTGTTGAATATAGGCCTCAGGACTACATGCATACTTAACAATTGAAGCAGCGTTTTGTTTTGGCTTTGGATTAGTCTCAGTCCACATCCATAAACCAACCATAACCAACCATATCCAATAACACACTTGAAAACGCATGTCATGTGATTACTCACATATACTAGGAATGCACATGCCGGTATAAACAAGAAGGCATGCAGGTGCATTTAACAGTTAGTCACCTACGCATTTAAGCAGTTGTTGCACTATAAAAATGCAGATTTAACTTGTTTTCTACTTGAAGGGGCTCATGTGACAGGAGCCTGATGAATTAGTAAAGGCAATAACTGTAAACAGTTTTCAAACTAAAAACAGGGCCAGCAGCATTTCCAACTTCGTTGTTCTATTGTCTCTAAAACACACATAGGAATACTGCCCTGTGTTGGAAGGTAGTACATGTTGGTTTCCATTAAAGGTTGGAAAATATTGTTTTCTTTACCCCATCCACAATGTTAAATAAAAAGCCCAAAAACTTAACAATGTAGCAATCACAATTGAACAATTGAAGCTAAATTAATGTGCTGAAAAGGATGCAGGCCTATCTTTTGGGCAAAGAGTAGTGTAGAAGGTCTAACATTATGCAGAGGGTGCAGATGTATGTAGATGACAATGGTATTCATGCCCATAAGTGCACACTTGTCTGTTTGGATGAAACTGTTTTCTTTGCCTGTGATAATTTGCTTGATCCTACCCCGGAATTATTCCTTGGCATTATTACTACAATACACTGTCACTTTGTATTGTTTGCATGCTGGACTTCTGCGGTGCAGAGTCAAGTAAGAAAACTTTGCGTTCATTCTGCCTGGTTTATCTGCAAAGAAGACTTTAGAGTCAATGCTTTTCATGAGTGAAAAGTGAATTTGCGTCATTACTGCACCACCACTTTGTACTTTTATCAGGCAGTAAAATTTGAGCAGCGGTCATACAATTATGCTTCTTTGTAAGAACCTCTCAACTATTGAATACCATACCAACATAACAGGAATTTTACTCCCACCCACACTGTCACTCATCATCTCATGGTTTGGCGTCAGAGCACTCAGAAATGTGATCATTGTTAATTCGTATAGTAATAGTATTATTGTTTTACTGTTGTTATTGTCGAGCTTCTTGCTGCTAACTTCTCATGTCTTCTGCCCATTGCCCAGTTGTCCAGACATAAAGTAACATGATTTACACTCTCCCCCTTTAATCTACTGCTGAGTCTAAATCCAATTCCTTTTATGCAGCTACACCAATGTGGTAATCTTACCATCCATACCTTTTTATAGACTCTAAAGAGCTCCACAAGAGAACACTTGCACATCATGTTGTATGGTAAACCTTAGTAACCTTAGTACAACTCTCCTCTGTAGATTATTCAAGTTTTATTTTTATCATATTTTTCACAGTCATGAAGGAGCCAGAGTGTGATAACACCCTCACCGGCGAGACGGATGAGGATGATGATGATGATGACGACGATGAGACGTCCAGGAGGGAGGGGGGTGGACTTGACCAGTCCCAGGTTCCGCTCTCACATGTCCAGCCCTCTGATTTCACTGTTGATCCCCAGAGCTCTTCAGGGGAGGGAGGTAGTCCCCTGGAAGGCAGTACAGACAAGCCTGAGGCAGGTGGGTAAGAATGAGTAGAAAGAAAATTTAACTTCAAAAAGACTAGAAATGTAAATGGTGGATTGATGTTGGAGGCTGGATGTATGACTGCATGTGGTGGTGCAGTGGTGCCTTGAGAAGTGGGTGCACACTTAATTTCATTTTTTTTTCAAAGCAGCTAGGCAAAGAACTAATCTGCTAGAAACAGTGACATGGAAGATTACTCCTACACATTTAGTTCACTTAAAGATGGGCCAATAGTATTTGCACATTGTCACTTCATTTCTGATGCAGATTTTGCAATACTGGACCACAGAATTTAGGATGAGACAACTACAAATAGTGAATTGCACATTGCGCAACAGATCTCAGTATATGAATTGTCAAGTTATGACAACTTCCTGTATCATGGCGAAACACGAACCTTCAATGCCATGCCACAGTCAGGCAATTCAATGTGGACACATTCTTTAAAAAAAAATGTGCTCATGCATGTGCCTACATTGCTCGCACAGATTTTGAAGTCGACATCACAGCAGCTGTAGAAGTGTTGTTAAAATGCAACGTGTGGAAATTGCAAAAAACATCACATAATTCAAAATGGCCAACTTCCTGTTAAGTGTAGCCAAAGATGCTTTGTACGTCTGCATCTGACACATGCTTACAGATTTACATACTATAGGCAACATGTGCTGTGGGGGCTGCTTCGTTTAAAAGTTATAGAGCTTTTTTGCCACGCCCAATATGTATATTAAGATTTATTATATTACTTATACTATATTTCTTACTCTAACCCTGATACACTGGCTGTACGTGTCTCGTGCTGCCTGTGGCAGGTGAACTGAGTAAGCAGGTCCTAATCACTTGTGCTGGTGTTCATTGGTATCGTGAGCTCAGGTCAGCGGGGGATTTTGGAGGGAGGACACAGTGAACTCTGACAGAGTACAAACCAACAAGTGCTTCTGCTCTGATCCTGAATCATTTTGCAGAAGCGGGCCGTCGTGGAAAACCTGTTTTCACACTTTTTGTTGCCACTGCCACACGAATTGCACATACCGGCTCATTTGCGTCAACAGGCTCTGCTCCTCTCATCTCTGTTTCACTTTCTGTGTCTCTCTGTGAGTGTGGGAGGGGCCCAGGGCCTGTGTGTGTGTTAGTGGAAACTCCACCTCGCTCACACATAGGAGATAGATGAGAAAAGCGACACAGCTTTCTAAAGTGTTGGCGTTATGTTTAATCAAAATCACTCACAGGAAAGGGCATGTATTGACATTTTCAATAATCCTTTGTATGAATAGATTGTTTAATAGATCAATTTCAATCAGAGAACCTATTTTTTTTAAACTCGGGGAGTGGGACCGTCGCTCAGAAGGAGCAGAATTATCTTAGCTTTTAAAAAATAAATCTGTGATTCGTTTCATTGTTATGAAAGAGAGTATGGACTGTAGCCTACAGGACTAGATAGCACTACGGACAAAAGACATCCTGCACAGAATGGTCCCTCACCCCTCATTGTAATAATTAGCCTGGCATTACTCTATCTCAACCACACACACACACACACACACACACACACACACACACATTTTTGCTTGCTCCTGGTATTTCACGTGATGATGATGATTTAAAAAGTTAGTTATAAGTTTAGTTGTACTGTCTCCAAACAGTCACATGTGTTACTAAATTGTTGCAGTCTAGAGATCATATCATATGGTGTCCTTCACTCCACAGTTCAACAGAGAGTGTATTCAATAGCAGCATTTCTTTGCGACATTTTCAATGTTTCACTATTGAATAAAATGTTTTAAAATACATTTTCTGTTGGATTTAAATCAGAAAAACTTCAGCAGATTATAGTTTTCACTTTTTTTAACACTGTGATTTTTGCAGTGTATTGGATCACTTTGAGGTTGTACTATGTGGTCTGTAATTATTTATGTAGCCCACCTAACCTGTGTTATTTTAATCATGCACAAGATCAAAACCTCTGCTCTCTGATTTCAGGTCAACAGTTCACCAGTCACACCTACATCTGCTCTCTATGTGGAACCTTCTGCCCTGATTCTATGTTCCTGGAAGAACATATTAAACTGATACACTCAGACTCTGCAGGTGCCCAGACTCTTCAGGCCCTGCAGTCCACCTCCTCTGCCGTACCCACCATGGGGAGCAGCAGCAGTGACTCCATGAGGAGTGAAAGAGGGCAGCACGAAGATGACACGAGACCAGGAGCTGGTGTCAGCATCAGTCGGGGAGGAGGGCTTGTGAAAAAGGAGATTAAAATTGAGGGGGGTTATGAGTGTGGGGACTGTGGCCGCCATTTTAACTACCTTGGCAACCTGCGACAGCACCAACGTATTCATACCGGGGAAAAGCCCTTCATGTGTCCAGAATGTGGGGAGAGATTCCGCCACGCGGCCCGGTTAAAAAGCCACAGGCTGGTGCACAGTGGAGCCCAGAGCCCCTTCCCATGCCCCCAGTGTGGCAAAGGTTTCTCAGTGCTGTCTGGACTCAAAAGACACCAACGGGTCCACACTGGTGAGAGCCCATACGCCTGTCCTCAGTGCGGCCGCCGCTTTAAGGAGCTTGGGAACCTGTACACTCATCAGAGGATCCACAGTGGGGCCACACCTTACTGTTGCCAGCAGTGTGGGCGCAGCTTCCGCCACCTGGGTACCTACAAGAGCCACCGCTGCACCCCGGCACAGTAAGCAGGAAATTTAAAGGACATGGTGCTGGCTCTGAGGGTTGCGTCTTCATTGTGTGGCTGTCTGACGTAACTGTGGGAGGTACTGGTCATGTGGACAACAGGGCTGAATTTTCTGAGACGCTGCCCATGCTTTAGTGTTCTGTCCTTGTTCGTTCAAGGCATTTTACCTCAGTCCTCAATAAATGCTGTCATTGAGCTTGAAGGTTTATTTCAGACTTTGGAAACAGCAGTTTTAGTCTCAACTCAGAGTTATAATTGTAGCAAAGCTTTCTTTGGTCTCACACACAGGGATGCACAATACGGATTTTTTGAAAACTTATACCAATAACCGATAATTACCCGCTTCTCGTGTCTGATATGATAACTGATCTCACATTTTTTTATATTAAAAAAAATAATGCACCTGTCTCCAGACCTGGCAGGGAGACTCAGACCCAATAGGCATAGATTTCCCATCTGATTGAAGTTACTTCACAAGGTGTCATAACCAAACTTTGTGTCTTACCCAAATGCAACGTTAGCAGCCTTCTCCGCTGTGCCTGGCCATGAAGCATATAATCCATCCTCTAAGATAGTTTGTGAAAGACTTGCAGGTTTTCTGTTATTCCCCTTGCGCACACGCACACTAGGCTCTGAACCCGTATGGGTCTTTTCATCACAGGCCATAAATTCTGTGATTTTGTTGATTGCTTTAGCCTCTTGTTAACTTTTTGCAGTTTTCAAATGCTTGTTGAATGAACAAATCTGTGGATAGTTTATTTATTCAGCCAACGTAGGAGATTTGTTATGTTTAAACTTTTACCCTCCTCTCAGAATCCAGTACAGTACATTACATTGCTGCCACCTGCTGGCCTAGTTACATTTTTGCAATTATTGTTTTTACAATAATATAAAAAATCATATATTTCCTTTTATTGGCCAGTAATAAATCAGCCCAGTTAATCGTGCATCACACACTCCTCATCAACACATGGGGTTTGCTCAGTTGTTAAAGAATTTGCATTAACTCTTCATTTCCTTTTGTATGCACACTACACTATTGAAAAGTTTAACCCCTCATACTTCTGTTACAAACTAAAAAAACCTCATTTGTTGATGGAGAGTTTTTTATATGGATGAAATCTGCAGAGCAAACCAGTTAACCTGAGACGAAATAATTTGTATCAGGTTGTATTTATATTTTTAATCAAAATCCAGACTCCATCAATAAAGAGGACATTTCCTATATTTTGCATTTACCTTAAAGGATAATTCATGTTCATTACAATTGTGCTATGCTTGAGTGCTTTTACTTTGAAACGGGTAAAGGAGAGATTTCAACTATTGGTTTATTGCATATTCTACAGAACCCACAGTCAAGGTTAGGCTCTGTTTGCTAGTTAATTCATCAAACGTAAGATTGGTAGTGTTTAAAACTTCTAAATCAAAAAATAATCCAAGATATTTCAGAAGGAATGTTTTTTTAGACTTTGTCTCTCTTCTGCTGTGAGAAAACAACTAGAAAACAACTTAGATGAGTAACGCCACCCCAGGATCATCACCACATAATGACTGATGCTTTTCTTAATTGGTAAAATCTTTCTTCCCAGCAGAGTTGCACAACGAACAAGATTCACTCAGCCCCCTCCTGACTGCTTGTTCTCTCCTTCTTGCGTCAACACTCTCTCACACACACACACACACAAACATTGTTATTGAAAACATCTATATGCCACTCTATATGAAGACTGGGTTAAATAACATAAGTTGGTCTTTGTGAACACAACTGCCGTATATAATTTCTTGCACATAGAATGAGGGTGGGAGATCTGATCACAAGTGGTCACAGGAGACACATTCAGGACAGATTTTAATGGCAGGTGTGAACAGACAAACTCAAGAGCTGTCCTCTTGTGAGGTTATATTTGTGAGTTCAATGTTATCATGACTGATAGAAGCAATGGCTAGGACTACAAAACACAAAACAAGATAAAAGAAAACTTTTAACCTCGTGCTCACTGGATTACCAATCTGAAATGCTGTTTTTCATATCACATTGATAGAAAACACATTGTCAAACATCAGACTTCTATTTTATCATCAGACAAACTGTAATTGACTGGCTTGGTAAAATGCAACAATGACAGCATTTGAATAGATCTATGTATGGCTCCATTTATTGATTTGCACCTTGATCCATTTAGCCTCTAGTACACCCTGTCACCCTCACTTTGTGGAGAAGGATGGATCTCTTAGAGTAGTAGTGGGACAGCATCCCCCACATGTGGACCATTTGTGCAACTGCAACAAAAGATTATCTTATGGCTCATATGGTACTGCTAATTGTCTTTCATCATGATACTGTTTGGTGCTATGTGTAGAGCAGGACGTTTATCATAATTTTTAAAAAGTATTATCTGATGTTACAGACTATATATTGGATATTTTATGTTTGCTTGTACGACAACTAAAAATAGTGTGATGGAAAAAAAACATACTTGAAGGAAATTTAATCCCAAGTATCGGGTTTACTCATTTGATCTCATTCTATGTAAGCCCATTAGAAAAATGACCAATTTCACTCTACTAAAATTGAGTTTCTTAGCACTATGGGGAAGACTAAAATATAAATAAATAAATACATAACAAATAAAAAAAAGGTATTCAAACCTGTGGAAGTTAAAAGCCAACCATTGACAATCTGCTTTCTTTTCTAAACTGTTGTTCTAAACTCATGAATGGAAGTGTGAATTTTTTTTACCAAAACTAAATAAAAACAATAAAACAAAGCGTTATGTGTGTACTCTTCAGTGTGAGTGTTTATTTGTGTGTGTTTGTGCATCTGTGAGTTCTAACCCGACAGGATTTAGGAACACCCAGTGCATTTTAAAAAGAATTTGGGACTGACATTCACCTTGACTCAAAGATGAACTGATTCGATTTTGGTGGTTGAAGGTCAAGTTCGCTGTGTACTTATGAAATGCATTTTTGGACTCATGATCTTGTGACTTATCAATGTGTTACATCAAGAACAAGCAAAGGGAATTTCATTATGGTTGGCACAAACACGCACTGCGACTCAAAGATTAACTGACAATGATTTGGGTGGCCAAAGATCAAAAACCTGTTTTGCCTCGTTGTTGCATTATTTTAAGAACACATAGAATGAGCCCTTTTAAATTAAGCACAAATATTCACATAGAATTACAGATTAACTGATAAGCATTAGGTGGTTGAAGGTAAAAGTCAAAAACATGTTTCTGGCCACTTGAACATGAAATCTCAAGTACGTCTTTAGGGAATTTTCTTCAACTTTTGACCAGTTGTCACCTGGACTCAAAGATGAAATGATTTCAGTGGCCAAAGGTCAGGGTGACGTCATATCTGTCTGTAAAATGAAATGTATGTAGACTGAAACAACACTGGAGGGTGGATGCATACAATCACACCATTGCAATTCTAGTAAGAGACTGTTTCATAGAGGTTTATCAAAGAAAAATAACAACTCAGCTCACTAATGACTGGACGAGATCTGTAAAATGAGCACTGTAGAAGGAATGACAGAGCTGAAAATAGGTCAGAAGGGGAGAGAGACAGAAAGAGTGAAAGAAGAGAGAAAGAGAGAGAGACCCCCTCTGAGAGCCAGAACCTGGTTTTGATCAGCACATTCCATTAGTCAGTACTCTCACAATTCATCCCAACTGTGTTCAGGAGCCGGTGGTCTTTTCTGAAGGAAAAAAAAAAAAATCTCATATAAGACGAAATACATTTTATCCTGTGGTCTACTCGCTAGTGTTCATCGAGTATTTTAAAGGAACTTAAAGGTCTTTCTAAACAGCTGGTAATTTTGTGTATGTGATGAAAATTCATCCTCTTACGCAATGAAGGGTCTATAAAAGGAAGTGTAATGTTTGTCAATAATAAACTTTCATACAGAGTCCCTGTCATACCTTTTAATTCAAGATTTCTTCACATAATAATATAAAAACCTAACAATTTACATTAGATGTTTCTTATATTTCACAGTCTATCAAACAATATTTTCTTTCTGAATTTGAAATGGCACTAAATGTAAATTAAGTAAAAAAAAAGTAAATTAGTGCTTAGGTTTATTTCATTTGTTTTTTTCCCCATTTGTTTTATAAAAATGATACACCTTAAAATCCAATGGGAACTGCTACTTAAAGTTTTGTAATCTGGGATCTGAAATTGTCAACTTTAATTTTCACCATAAATTGAAAAACATTTTACAAAAAGAAGTTTCAGAAGAAACTACAGAGTTTCACATTGACGATCCACAATTGAACAATTAAAGCATTGACTAAGACATAGACTTCTTGTATTAATGAAGTAAGGTTAGGAAAGGTGATTGATGGCAATTCTAACATCATGACTAATATCAGCTACCAGCTCCCACAACATTCCTTGTGCATTGTGAACATCTGTTCTTCAACTTTTATTAAAAAAAAAAAAGTCAGAAAAGGATAGGTGCTGTTAAACTGGACATCAGTGGGGGAAAATCTTCCCATGTGTAGACAGACATTCCTCTGTATTTCACTAGGTTTATGGGGTCCATAAACTTTGTCATTTATGTATTACAATTGTTGAATTTACTTGAAAATTTGAAACAAGTTTGAAACAAAATATAAATACAATAGAACCACAATACACAAAGGTGGTTTCAGTCGCTCATGAAGTATTCAACACATGAAAAAATGAAACAAATGATTATTTTTCCAGCAATATCATGTGACTACAGAATGTCTTTTTTCTTGAAGGAATATTGGCCTAGAGTTTCTTCTTTCCCATTGTTGATGTGAGCGGTTGAGAATAACATATGTCTTTAGTGATATAGAAATTAAATTAACTGAGCCTGAGGATCTTGTATGAAAGAGATTTTGTAAATGAAATGAATAAATGTCTACAAACAGTATCCCCAGATATTAAAATATTTTTTGACATTACAACTGAAGATTGTATGTTTTATGATAATATAACATTGTCCAATGTTAAAACCTCTAAGCAGTTTTTTACCACATAGATAATGTGTCCCAAAAAGGTCAGTGATTTTCAGTGTGTCTTCATTACCTCTATTAGTTGATATTCAAGCATCATATCTATATACGCTCAGAGCGGGCAGTTCCTTAGCAGGTTCATTATTCCCTCGGGCTTACCTCTGAAAAAGAGACAATTTATTTGAATGCCAGTTTCTCTCTTCTCTGTTTAAACACAGGTCTTGACCCCTGCTGAGGGGTTAGGAGCTCCCTGTGGATCATGAGACCCAGAAATCCAGTGGTAGCAGTCAGTGACATTCTTACTGCGTGGCCGAAGACCAGAGTGAGTACAATAGACAAAGACCAGTGTCAGCATCACCAATATTAGTATACAGATGGGCACTAGTAGTCCCACCAGAAGCCAAGTGCTGCTGTGTTTATGCCCACTGTTTTCCTGATCAGAATCCATGGTGTCTCTGCTCTGTACAGCCCCGCTCGAGGTTGGCTGGGAAGAGGTAAGCTCTGTGAGAACTGTTGGTTCGTCATTTTTCTCCTCCCCCAACTCCTCTGGGAACTGTTCTTCGTCTCCCTTGTTGCGGTAGCTGGAATCCTTAGTCATGTTGTGGTTTGTGACTAAATCCTCTGGATTTCCTGGTTTATGGCTTGAAGTCGTGAGGCTGGACCACCAATTCCAAGCTCCCTCAGAGATTGTAGAGCTGGAAAGGGAGGGAAGAGCTGTGGTGGTCTCCTTGTCATCTTCATATGAGTCTGGTTCAGTGCTAGAGCTGGTGTCTGGTGGAGGTGTGGTCGAGATGGTGCTTTGAAAAACTTCCAGGTCAGGCTGAGGTTTCTGCCCCCACTCTAACCAATCATCTCCATTAATGTGTGTGGCTTTCTCATCATTCTCATCCCCCAGTGTCAAAGAGTCCACTGAAGAATAAAAGGGCAGTTCCTCATGTGGAGCGCTGGTGACCCAAATGACATCAGATTTCAAAACTGTGGGTGGATCAGTCAGCCAGTTCAGAGATTGCTCCTCCTCTGGGGGCCAGTCAGTGTGGCTCTGCGGCAGATTCCAGTCATATTCCATGAGGTCCCATACAGGCTCAGGTTGGTGGGTGACCCAAGGAAAAGGAGAGGAGAGTGAAGGAGAATGGTCATCTCCTTCACCGCTCTTCTGACATGAGTGTTGATCAGGCATGAGTTTATAACCTTCCTCACAGAAGCACTCGAATCCACCATCATAATTCACACACATCTGCTCACAGGTCCCAGGGATCTGGCACTCATCAGAGTCCTGGCATCGTTTTGTGTCTTCGGGTACTGGGGAGAACCCCAGATGGCAGTGGCAGATATGAGAGCCTTGAGTGTTCTCACAAGCATGTTCACATGGGTCATTTATACACTCATCTATATCCTCACATCCACCCTCATCATCTGGATGGTAACCTTCCCGACATCGACATTCAAATGTCCCTGGAGCATTCTCACAAATTTGTTCACAAGGACTCTGGAGGCACTCGTCTACATCCAGACAGGCAATTTCATCTGGCCCGAGCATGTATCCTTCAGGGCAGGCACAGCGATACCCATCTGAAAGGGGCAGGCACTCAAACTCACAGGTTGCCCCATGACAAATAGACATCTCACAGCTATGCCGATCATCTCCTAGTTGATACCCATCAGCACACTCACAGTAGAAGTGTTCACCAGCCGGCATGCAGTAATGCTCACATCCACCATTATCCAGATCGCACCATTTGTCTGATACAAGAGGATCAGAGCAAAGAGGGGAATCTCTTGACCACCCAACAGAGCCATCCTCCTTCAGCATACACAAAACTGATTGTTCCTCCTTGGTGCCTATGGGGCACGGCACAATAGCGACAGATCCGAAGGGTACATGTGTTAGCAGTGTGCTTAGAAGGTTAAATGGTGTTGAGTAAAGGACATTGCCTCCAACTTCGGTCCACAAGGCTGGACACATTCCTTTAAAGCCATAATGACAAAGATACCCATCTGCAGGAACTGAGCAGGAGCCATCCTGCCATTTTAAATTATCATTCTTCTCTAGAATGCTGTAGCCCATGACCACACAGCGTGGCACCATACACAAATCAGGGGAGTCCTCTTTCTGCCAGTTGGTATACTCTGTGTCCTGGTCACCAGTGGTCCAAGAGAAACCCCTCAGGGGGCGAGTAGTGCTACACTGGCGAGGCTGGCGCTGCAGGCCAATCCATACCTGGATATTGGTGCGTGAGTGTCGCAAGTCCAGAGCTGAGAAAAGAATTGCAATAGTGGTGGCATCCTCCTTGCGTTTGATGGTGGCGAGATTGCCTCTTCTCTCTTTGCAGGCCCTCCATGAGTCCAAAAAGGTTTTTCTTTGGAAATAGACCACAAAGCAGCCATCAGCATTACATAGTGCATCCCTCTCTCTCAGGTCTTGGCCAAGGACTGAAGAAACTCCAAAAAGCAAAGCCAGCATGGAGGTTAAGAGAAGAGCAGCAGCACTGGTAACTAGACAGCCCATTCTTTTTTAGTACTGATTCCGACTGATCTCTCACCCTAACTTTCTACACACTTTCTACTACCTTACTGTGGTTTTCTCTCTGACCCTGTCTCTCTGAGTTGCACTCTCTTTCATTTGAACTCACATTTTTTACAGTGCCTGCGTTCTTCACTCTGTCCTGTTAAAAGAGATCTGAGCCAGAGTTGAGTGCATGCAGATTGTCCCAACATTTCACAGAGCAGAGAGGGAGGGGAGAAATGGCAAGAAGCTAGAGGGAGTGATACATAGCAAGAAGGAGGGGAGAAAGGGAGGGAGTTGAGGAAAAGAATTGTATGTTTTTCAGAAGAGGTGGTGGCTGGGGGTTGGGGGGTACTATGTGTATGTGTGGGTCCGAATGGGGGGAGGTGCAGCAAACTATGCTTCTCTCTCTCTGTCATATGGTTTTCATAAGTGCTGTTCATAGACCTACTTTGACACTCTGCTATTTATCTGCACAGACATTTACACACTTACTCATATAGGCCTACATGAAATTGTGGCACTGTAAACCCAGTCAATAGCCATGTTCTGGAAAGCCAAAAATATGTGATTTTGGTCACATCTGTGTAAAGATTCAAAATCAGAAAATTGTAAAATAAGAGGGGTGTTCAGAGAGTGCATACATCCACCAAGACTAGCGCCCTATCTTGACATGTTAAAGGAAGTTAAAGAAAATCCCCTTGTGCATCTGGATCTGCTGTGTCATGCCCCACCACAGGTAGACAAACAAAAAAAATTTAAACATAGTGTCCTTGACCGAGGTAATGAGCAAGATCAGTGAAAAAACATGACCATCGTTAATCAAAATATATTTAATCAAAATATATTTTATTTAGTGATTATCTTTTAATTCCCTCTTTGGGAATTTGTCCAATCATCATAAATCTTGGTAAATCTCTTCAGCAAATGGTTGGGAATAGGCCTACCAAAGAACATTCAGTCTGACCCTAAGGGGTGCCAAAAGTAACACGGTTGTGTGCCTCAAATGTCACAAAATTAGGTGTGCATGCCATATTTGAATAGCACCAAATACCTACATATACCAACTAAATACCAACATACCTAATATTGGTGGGTGCCAGTGTGTGCCACCTGTCCCATCTTTGCTTATAACACAAGAAAGCATAAGCACTGAGTGCACTGGGGACACAAATGGAACTTTGAGTGCATATTTAATGAAATGCTACATATATCAAAATGATAAAATAATGGTATGTTTGGTTTTACAGTCTTTAAATATAATTTAACTAGCTGAGGGGACTTTGTTCAACTTTCTCAAGCCTGAATCCTGCTAATTGCTTCTTGCAGATTTAATTCATGCGGTTTGAGCTGTTCCCAATTCCCAGTTGTTGCTATTGCTTTTAACATCTACACCATATATCCACAACATATAAATATACTATGCTCATCACGTCTTTCAATCTACTTTTAGAGTGGCATTATCGATGTATTATCATTTTTCAGGGCTGCATTCCTCTTAATAATTCCATAATTTTTCAGTCGATGACATTTACCTGTGCTTAAAAGGTAAAACTTTTGAGCCTTAAACATTTTACGATATAGTACATATTGAATGTTTCAGAATGCATGCTGTGAAGGTAAAGCGTCTTCTGAGTGCATTTCTAGGTCTAATTTTGTTTTTATTGATCTTGATTAATAATTAACAACAATTGATTTAAACAGACTCTTCCAGGCAGTTGTGGAAAGCCTGTCTGAAACACGGGAGCTTCACTAGCCTTAGGGTTTTTTCAGCCTGCCATGAAAACTTGGCCAAATATAATATAACAAGCATGCAGGATTTAATCTGACATCAGAACAACACATACCGCACATGTGCATGACAGCTACCTCACTGAGCTGCTGTGGCTCACAGTGTGTCCACACTACTGCTGCTTTGACACTGTTAGCCCTAACTTTAAACATTGAATTTGCCTCGGATAATGACCCTCAATGATAATAGCCTAGGACCTTTCACATTTGAGAGGTCCTAAAAGAATAAAGTTGCAGCCACAAGCATTGACATGATTTTTATCTATCCTTGTTTATCCTCATTACTCCTCAAGCTCCACATCAATTTAAATTTTAAAATTCCATGAAAGCTTGGACCTAACAAACTTTATATGTGGTAATAGATCTGAATCTATGTAATTTCATACATCCAAAAAAAAATTAAAAGTTGCACAGAGAAAACTTGCCAGTCAGTTAAACAAAGGGTCTGCATCTGAATCAACTTTGCTCTCCTCCATGTAAATGACTCTCAGACTAGGATGTAGGGAAAGTTGTTGAGGTTGCCAGTGTGGAGGAAGAGGGCCCCTGGGTTTGCTATGAAAACAAAGCCAGGCCGGTGAAATGGAGACCTGTGTTCCCACACGGAGTACGTAGAAGGGTTAGAGGGTCTGGATATGTGTGTCTGGGTTGAGGAATGGGGGATGTTGAGTGGGCTGGGGCGGTAGCAGGAGTCCTGTGAGTCTGCAATAAATCCAGCTGTCTGTTGAGAGAGCTCATACTGTGGAAGTTAGAGTGATGTAAAAAAGTGGAACAGCTTCAGCTTCAGCAATTGCCTATAGGGAGGGAGGGAAGTGTGATGAAGGGTTACATGAATCTTCAAGGTGACAATTCGCATTTATCAAAAGTATTCGAGCAATGTGTTTTTCTGTAAAATCTCACGGATGTACTGTTTCATATTGGTGTAAATTGAAGCAGCAGAGGCAGAAATATTCTGAACCCAAACCATAAAGAATTGTATTCGACCATGTGTATGCTCCGAGATATAAACCAGACCTACATCTATGGTAAATAAATGGTTGTATTTATATAACGCTTTTCTATATATATACCTCTGAAATCATTTATCCAGTTGTTCGGCAAGAAAATAAATATTCTAATGATAAACTTTCAAAGAAATGCAGCTCTTAGTTCTTTACATACAATTATGTAATTCAAAATTAGTATAATAATATCCTAGATGGATTAACATGGGAATTTAACAGCAATCTAATATGGTTAATGTCTAGATCTCTCTATCTTCTATCTATGTACTGATTCCACCAACAAAGTGATCATTTTGATAATTAGATTCTTTTCATCTCACAATACCGTACTGACACAAACATTCACGGATGCTGTGGGTGCAAATCTCCATCACTGCAGCAGCATTCTTAATCGCTACCTCTTTAGCAATGTGACTAAAGTAAAAGTAAAATACTCATGTTATTGCTTTATATCGAACAGAATTGCAGTGCTTTAATTAAGAGTTTTTAAGTTTAAGTTTTAAGTTTTGTACTTGGGAATGAAGATTGTGTTGATTGTGCAGACCTCTGAAAAAGGTGTCATGCAGTGTATGAAAAAATTAACAATTTATTTTCAAAAGAGTAATAGAGCCAATTCCATTTCATTTTATGAAAAACATTGATTATAGAATTGATGCAAAAAACATCTGGTTGCACAATGGCCTCACTGCAAATAAACTTCGGACTTCAGACTACAATGTCCATGATGTAAACAATTAAAAAAAGTAACAGTATATTGTAGAAGTGTTGTTCAGTCAATCAAGTTGTCAATCAATCAGATGTTATTTACATAACTTATCACAACCAGCCTCATTGCAATATCCTGTGCTCTCAACCCTTGACTAGAGTGAGGAAAAACAACCCCAAAAAACATTACAATCCACGATATGGCCCCGGCCTAGATCCTGGATCTGCAACAAAAAAAGCAGAAGAACTCTGGTAAAGACGTTATGTCAGTAACGTGTATTAATGCTTGATTGAAGCACCATGTGCAATGTGTCAGCCGAGAATCTAGGCCTATCGCAGCTAAGAGATGGTCAAAGGGGAGCCAGCCCTAACTGCAAGCTTTGTCAAAAAAGTCTTAAGCCTACTCTTAAACATAGAGAGGGTGTCTGCTTCCCGGACTGAAACTTAGGGGATGATAGTTGAGCGCCCATTCTACTTTAGGGACGACAAGTAAGCCTGAATTCTGGGAGCACAGTGCTCTAGTGGGGTGACATGGTACTATGAGCTCTTTAAGGTATGATGGTGCTGTGTCATTAAGGGCTTTAGGGGTGAAATGTCATATCCTTTCCTGGATCTTGTCAGTACACATGCTGCAGCATTTTGGACAAACTGCAGAGTCTTTTAAGGACTGGTCTGGTGAAGCCTGATAATAAAGAATAACAATATTCAAGTCAGCAGGTATATATATATATATATATATATATATATATATATATATATATATTGTATCTTAGATTTTGTACACGTACTGATACATCTGCTACATCCACTGCTACATTCTTAAGTGTCTTATTTTATGGATGGATACAAACAACCCACATGGATTATCAGTCTAGACTTCTTGGATGCAAGTTCTTTGTTCGGTAAAAAAAAAGTGTCCTTATTCACACAGCTGGTGAAACACAAAAATCCCAAATCATTTAGTACATTAAGGGAAATATCAAGACTGCTCCTGATTTGAAATTGTTAGGTGTTAACATGTTAACATGAACTATAAAGGTGAATTCATCAGACAAAACATTAAAATTACCTACGTTTGAATATAGCATTAAAGGAATGAATCTGTAACAGGTAATGCTTCTTTGTAGTGCAGTCTGTTGGGCTTTCTTCACTGCACACCCACAGATTTCTGCTGCTGTACGGGACACTACTTATCCCACCTAGTAAACCAGAGCTGGCCTTGTGTGCTAATATGTTTCCCATCCACTGCAGAAGAGAGTTTAAGGGAATGAAGAAAGTTTTAGATTCCAATCAGGACACCCTGGAATTCTTACCCCGTTCTATATATATGTGCATGTGCAACTATTGCAAGAAAAATATACATTTTTGGAGATTTTTGTATTGTTTATTCCCTGCATAATATGTAGCATATGAAGTGGATTTGGAGAGCTGCATTGGATTCAGAGGTCTGGTTGTTATTTTACTTGATTCCTCCCCCATCTCTCCAACTAGCCAGGAAATGGACTTTTTTTAAATTGGCTACATAAGGCTGAAACTCCAGGGCATAATCATCCTTGTAGTTTTCCACCACAAAGCTTCTCACTGACATGACCAAGAGCACAGAAGACAATCTATCACCTGATAGGAAGTGTCAAGGGAGGGAAAGTGAAACATTATGCTCTGATAAAAAGAGCAGGCGTACTATGTTAATGT